TATTTCAGAACCGCCCGCTGTCAGGTTTGGCACTTGCTCGTGTCTGATATTAGACTTGATCAATATTGCAGTGCCTCCCCATCCGCGTGAGTTTGTCGGTCTGTCGTTCCTGTATACTTTGTAGTTGTTGATGTAAAGTCTGTCCGTAGGTTTCAGGTGTGTCTCGTTAATTAGTACAATGTCCAAGTCATATTTTGTTATAGTCTGTTTCAGTTCGTTTACGTTGTTTTTGAGTCCGTTGGAGTTGAAGTACATTATGTGTATGTCGCGTGCGTGATTTATGGGCATGCCGTTAAAAAGTTAAGTATGGTTGTGTATTTGTCATTGTAAGTCATATTTGTGTTCAATGTCTTTGTCAGTTTATAAAGCTCACTGAAAATTTGTCTTACCTCGGGATCCGCGAATAACTTCCTGATCTCGCCCATAACAGTAAATAGTCCCTCCGGTGTACTCAGGTCTGGATCGGACTGGCTGTTGGTAGGCCGGATTCGTGAGGATGCTGGCCGGATCGGTTCTGGTGTTGGCTGGATCTTCGGCGATGGATACTGGGAGGCCGGCTGTGTTCGTGGTGATGATGGTACCGGGAGTTCAGGAAACGCAGATCTGTTGTTACGGCCATCGCTGGTGGGTTGTAAGGCTGACGAGAAGCTCCTCGTCAGCGGCGCAGGTGTTGGCGCTGGCTTGTATGCTGGATTTCTCTTAAGCGCATCTTTGTCTCTTTTTGCTCTATAGTTGATTAGAGCTGGGCATTTAGAATAGTTAGCCGGGTGGTTTTCTTGGCAGTTCACGCATTTCGGTTCCTCCGTTGATGGCTTCGTGCACACTCCTGGTGGGTGCACGTTCGTGCATTTAATGCACCGGTAACGCATGTCGCACGTGTACGAGGTATGGCCGAAGTTCAGGCACTTGTGGCACTGTATAGTCTTATTTAGTGGCCTGTAACTCTCCCATTTAAATATATGTCCTTCTATATTATTTATTTCCTTCAGTTTGGCCATCTCTTGTTCCTTATCTAGAAGGACAATATATATAGGGAGTTTGCGCTGACTGCCGTCCGATTCCTTCTTCTTAATTTGGACCACCTGCTTTACTTTAATGCCCTTGGTTTTCAGTTCTTCAAGAACCACCGTTTCAGTCATGTCTGGATTTAGGCCAGTTATAGTGATTTTCTTAGGGATGTCATGCTGCATAGTATAGGTGTAAAATTGAAAATCACAATCCCTTAGTATGGTTTTCAGTTTTTCATGTTCTGCAATCGTATCGGCATATATTTTGTGCAATTGTGGCTTTAAATATTGGGTCCTGAATATTATTTTCGTCGTATCTTTGATATATTTGATCACTTTTAAATCCAGCTGGCCTTTGACGATGATAGGTGGAATCTTTGGATCTGTTACGGTGGTGTTCTTGGGTGCTAAATTCCCCGTTTTCGATGTAGATGGCTTCAGAGTGTTAACAGTCTGGTTTCCTATCACATTGTCTGCGTTGTTTTGTCTCAACCGTTTCTTGCGTTTGACTGTCCGGTACTCGTCTAAATATTATTATAATATGCAATATCTTCCACTGTAGAATACAGTATGTAAAACATAAAATGAACATAATTTGTACTAAAATATGAACCTGTTAAAACCAGATTTATTGATGTATCTACTAATATTATGGCTTCATTTAAAATATTTGCTCAAATAAATCAAAGTAAGATATATGATATCGAAAAGATATCTGACTATTCAATTTTTCATTTGATGCTATCGCTATTGATTAAAATTAATTAAATGATTATTTTAAATTTGTGTGAATAAATTTTCTGCTACAACTTTATCTCTTGTAGCAGATATACAATACATAGATAGGTTTTTCTTTTAAAGATTTGAATAATAAAAAATAAAATCAAGTGCATATTTAAGCTACTAGTGTGTATAATTTTAAAGACAATTTTTGATCTTTTGTCTACGTTAAAAATTTTCTTTTGCGTTTTTAATGAAATTTAAAGACGATTAAAGAGTTCATAGTCTAAATCATAGGTTTTCAAACTCATTTCATTTCGTGGATCCTGATTTTTTTTGTTGACTTAGACCCCCTGAAAGTTGTCATAGACCCATGGATCTTAGATCTTATAGTCCTACCAAAAGTAGTTACATTATAAAATTCAATAAAGTTTGGAATAATGGGCCGAGCTTTTAGAAAATATAAGCTCTCGTGTTAGTGAACTAGAGCTTTTAGAACATTCAATTATTGATATTATAAGTTTGTTTGAACTATATCGATTTAAATTCGCTTTGATTGCTTTGTAGTAAATGCAAAAACTTTATTTGCAAAATAATTAGTTAAAAATTGATTAAGCCTATTCGCCTTTACACATATCGGAAAGTTTTTACAACGTGCTTCAAGGCAAAATGCCACTTACAACAAGTAATTATTCTGTTCATTGCTGGACAATTGTGAATCATCAAAATATATTATTGAACTATTCCAATCGATAAAAATATTACTAGCCATACTGAACAAAACAATACTCTGCATGAATGAGCAAATTCATATAACTCAACAGAATTTCTGACCAAAATATATTAACTTCCCGTAGGGTAAGTTATTGTAATGGGCCGAAAATCGAAATTGAAAATTTTTACATTTCTCGACGTTTTGAAGGTTTCTGAACATTTTGGCATACCTCAGAAAAAATGGATGTGTGTGTGTGTATGTATGTATGGATACAAATTTCCAGTCACGTTTTCGGGCGCACGGATCAACCGATTTGAATGGTTCAAAAAACATTCGATTCCTATTGATAGGGAGAAGAGCCGATTAGTTTTTGGCAAATGCAGGTTCAGCCGTTACGGAGATACGGAGCAAAGAGTGCAGAGAATAGAAATAGAGTTTTTGAGTGAACGGAGTATCCGATTTGAATGATCTAAAAAACAATCAATTAGTAATGATTGGAAGAAGTGATTATTAGTTTTTGGCAATGGCAGGCCCAGCTATTTCAAAGATACAAAGCTAAATGTGCAAAAAATGGCAGTTTTTGAGAGAACTAAGCGTCCAATTTAAATGATTCAAAGAACTTTCAGCTTGTTTTAACAAAATAATTGATTTTAGAAAAAAAAATGTATCATTTTTTTTGTTTTTTTAACTTCCCGTAGGGCAAGTTATAGTAATCGCAAAAAAATCGAAAATGAAAATTTTTATATATCTTTACGTTTCAAAGGTTTCTGAACATTTTGGCATACCTTAGAAAAAATGGATGTATGTGTGTGTGTGTGTGTGTGTGTGTATGTACGTGTGTGTATGTATGTGCGGATACAAATTTTCGTCGACGATTTCGGGAACACGGATCAACCGATTTGAATAATTCAAAAAACATTCGATTCGTATTGATAAGGAGACGTGCTGATTAGTTTTTGGCGAAGGCAGGTCTAGCCGTTCCGAAGATACGGGGCAAAAAGTGCCGAAAACGGTAACTTTGTTTTTAAGAGAACGGAGCGTCCGATTTTAATAATTCAAAAAACATTTTACTTATATTGACAAGGTGAAGAACCGATCAAAATTTTCATAAAGGCAGGTCTAGCGGTTTAGGAGATCTAATGAAAAAAGTAAAAAAAAATGCTATTTGGCGGTCAAAAATTATCATTAGACATATGCACATCAAATTATCAGATATTTTATAGAGATTTTAACAATAAGTATGAATTTGGTTTACAGCCCTATGAGTTCCGTACCAATGTTCATGCGTTAGACGGCGACGCGGCGCTTACGCGCTTTGATATTTTGTCTTTATGCAGTTAAAGCAGTACGATTGCTTTGGAAGAAAGTTTAGATCTTCCAAAATATGTCAAAATAAAGAAAATAAAGAAAAAATTAAATTTTTTTTTTTTTTTTTTTAATTTTTTTTCAAAAAAAAGTAATTTTTGGTCCAATTTATAGTTTCTCAAAAATCTTATTTTTTCGAAGTAAATTTTTTTCAAAAATGTTAATCGTTTTTAGAAAAAAAAAATGGTACGGGAAGTTTCAGCAATTTGCCTTAAGGCACGATGCCTTAATTGCCTTAAGACAGAATTCCACTTACAGCTAGTTTTAGTTTTTTTTTTGTATATCGAAAATAATTCAGATTTTATTTTTAATTCTGACTATAGTTCTTATATACTTTAAACAAATAATTTCAACTTTGCAATTCAGTTTATATAATTCTTATAAATATTAGACGATGTTATAATATTAATAATAATCTATTTGAAAACATTCAGTATTCCTCAAACTTTTCGTTACGGTACGGGAAGTTCCAGCAATTTGCCTTAAGGCACGATGCCATACACCTCACTAGTTTAACAATATATTTGTACAAATATGATTAATATTAATATCTAGTTGTGTATGGCATCGTGTCTTGCCAATTGCTGGAACTTCCCGTACCGTAATTAAAAATCTTGGTACGAAACCCAAAAAAATGACACAAAATGTGTACACATTAATAAAATCTCTATAAAATATCTGATGATTTGATGTACATATGTCCAATAAACATTTTAGACCGCCAAATGACATTTTTTTAACTTATTTTTATTGAGAGTCTATAAAAGCTGAACCTGCATTCCCAAAAATTTGAACAGTTCTACATCTTGTCAATACAAGTAAAATGTTTTCTGAATTATTAAAATCGGACTCTCCGTTCTCTTAAGAACTGTGTTACCGTTTTTGGCACTTTTTGCTTCGCATCTTCGAAACGGCTAGACCTGCCTTCGTCAAAAACTAATCAGCACGTCTTCTTATCAATACAAATCGAATATTTTTTGAATTATTCAAATCGGCGTTCCCGAAACCGTTGACGAAAATTTGTATCCGCACACACACACACCCACACAAAACACACACACGTAAGGTATGCCGAAATGTTCAAAAATCTTTGAAACGTGAAGATATATAAAAATTTTCAATTTCGATTTTGGGACGATTACAATAACTTACCCTACGGGAAGTTAATAAATCAAATCTTATTGCTATTTTACCTTCGTAATAGGTTTTAATATCAGGCATGGTATCAGTCGTACAAATTTCGCTCTCATTAAGCACAGCTTTTCTGTCCAGTTGGGGCTCCATATTTAAATTTCCAGTCATTTTCAAAATAGTATCTTAACTTAAAGTCACTTTAAAACTTACACTGAATTTTAAATCAAACAATTTTACATGCGGAAGCGAGCATGTCCGTTAGATTCAACTGTCAGATAGATATTGATATAAAACACATAATGCATTGACATCTCTCCTTTAGTTCTAAACACACAATTACACAAAAGTAATTTGATTATGTGTAAGGTTTTATCTCGGTCATTGTGTTCGATTCAGAGTTGGACTGATATCAAAATAGTAATATTAATTATTATAAGACTATAATGACTGGTTCGCGGACATTGTCGAGTTGGTCGGCTACCGGTAGTGCAACTGATTTTTCTTGGTCGCCGCCGTCGCCGTGAGCGAAAGTAAAAGTGACCCCTCTTCTTATATTTGTATCTGATACATGCTTGAGAGTAACTTCAGTGTAATGTGCGAATAGACAAGGCGCCAAAGACGAAAATGATTATGATATGATAAATAGTTCATACTCAATATTATATTAGGTTATCAACTGATAGTGCAGTAAACGGAGAGGAAAAAAGGGTATAACCTCTGAATTTTTTTACTGTGCTCCGAATTGAATGCAATTTTGGAATTAGGCTCATCTTACCCTCAAGTTCAAAAGTGAAAACAATTCGGGTTGCGCCATCACCCCCCGGGGGGATGACAAACCTTCTCAATTGTGTAATTACATTTTTTTTAAATAACGTCGGATATCGATAGAAGAACTAATTATAAGGAAAAAATGTCTTTTATACTTTTTCAAAAAAACTAATATTTTTCTAGTTACTGGCCACTAAAGATTCATTTTGCAAATATCTCCTAAAATATACATTTTAACGAAAATCATGTAATAAACAAAATAATGTCAATAAAAATCTTAATAAATCGGTATTACATAAAGTGTTCTAGGAAAATATTAAGAAATATTTGAAAGAGCAAAGTCGTTTTTTATTTCGTTCAAGATTTAATTGTTGTATTTAAAGCCATCTAGTGTCGAGGTTTTATATTTTATGCATTTAGGTGAAATTGGGTTTTATAGTGCTTAACATAAGCTTTAAAATGAGTGCTGTTACAAGTCTTTTGTGTGTAAAATGAGTGAACTATCATGCAAATAAGAAGCATATACGAAGTTTTTTTCTTTTAAATCATATGGCTTTTCTATCAGAGCGCCATTTCTATCAGAATCAAAGTAATTCACATTCCATCTAGAATTCACTTCATTTTAGACATCTTGATGGATTCTAGCAGATTCATAACTTTAGTACAAACTATTTTCAGAAAACTCACAATTTTATAAAAACTTTTTTTTCCAATTTTTTTTTAAAAATCGAAATTATTTTCATTATATCTCAAAAAGAATAAAAGATACGTATAAAAGCATATAGATAAAAATCAAAGGAATCTTTCTGGCTTATTATTGTTATTTATTATTTTTCTTTCACACACAAATTGACAGAGTTATGAATGTTTAAAGACTGCGCGGCCGCGCAAATTGGAAAAAAAAAGTTTTTATAAAATCGTGAGTTTTTTCTTATAATTAGTTCTTCTATCGATTTCCGACGCTATTTTGAAAAAATGTAATTACACAATTAGAAGGGGTGTCATCCCCTCGGGGGGTGATGGCGCAACCCGAATTGTTTTCACTTGTGAACTTGAGGGTAAGATGAACCTAATTCCAAAATTTCATGAAATTCGGAGCATAGTAAAAAAATTCAGACCTAAAACGCTCCGTTTACTGCACTTGTTTAACTCCACTTCGATCAATGACTTTTTGTCATCTTTCAAGCAACCGTCTATTATCCTAGACAATAAAAATATTATATCTTCATTATTATCCCACTTTCATAAAACTTCTGCTTTTTATTGAGGAAAAACGAATCAGGTACAATTTGACACCATCATAATAATTGAAATGTTTACCATTCAAGGAGTATTTAAAGATCGGAATAAAAAGTAATCAAAAGGTACCAGGTTGTAGCAAAACATTTTCACCAAGCTCTTCAATAATTTTTGCCGAGTGACCAAATTTATGTGATGCCAATATTGGAATAAATCACCGCCTCGATTTAGCAATTTTCTTCAACTTCGTTGTTTAATTTTTTTAGTTGTTTAATGTAGACATTAGAAATGATCGTTCCGTTGGGTTGCAACTGCAAAAGTAGACAATCCATTTGTAATCATCTTCATCAGGACGAATGACCAGAGCGTTTTTCATCTTTGAGTGAAAAGTCACCAGAACGAAATTTGGAAAACCAATTTTGACACTCCCGTACTTTAAGGCTTTGTCAGCATAAATGCCTATTTACCTTTGCAGGAATATGGTAAAAATGTTTTATTCGATTTTCCATCTTTTAACGAACGCCGCACGAAAACTTCGCAATCGATCACAAAACTCATTTTTACTGATTGACAGGTGAATTGTCTACTGGCCAATTACAAAAGGTATTTTACATTTGGACTACGTCAGCAAACCTAAAAATTCAATGAAATCTTCTAAGGAGGAGTCCATTAATCACGTGAGGTAGGGAGGGGTATAACAAAAAATCACGAAATAACACGTGAGGGAAAAAGGATTATAGTAAGATATCATGTGTATTTATTTTTTACCTGATTTTTTTAAAGATCCAAACATTTTCAAAAAAAAAAAATTACAATTTTTTCTCGTAACTACACGTGATGTTTGGTGGGAGGTAGGAGGTTAATTTTGAATATCACCACGTATCACCAAGTTGGAGTCCAAAAATCCTTAAAAAAACGATCACGTGATTAATGGAGGCTCCTTAATTAATAGATTTTCGTTGAACAATATTAGTCGACTGCGACTCATGGTCGAGGTATCAAAAATTCTTGTTAACGCTCTATAAATATATTACAATATGATCACGTAAACAAATTTGAATTGATAAATATTTCACCTAAGATTAAACTTTTTTATGCATTGTTAATTTTATTATAATCTATAAATTTAATGATAACACATATCGTATTTTCCATAGTGTGTGTTTATGCGATTTTAAATTTCCCGAGAGTTTTTGCGAAAGATTTCTCGACGTTTCAAGTCCATTCTGAATAGTTTGACACCAAATTTGGAAAAAGTATGTGTGAGTATATACGTATGCATATGTGTATTTTCCGATTTAGGTCGGTAAGTACAGGTTGATTTATTTTTCGAGCTAAGCCGTTTCACTTTTTCTGGTTTTTGTAATTTGAGAATGCATTTGCCGGCACCCCCACTAATTGCTATTTGTGAAGTGGCCGTATATTATATTTAGAGCGAGTGCGCACGCATATATAGGTGCACCTTGAACGAGTAAGCTTTTATTTTGAAGAGAAAAAGGCTCGAATTGTATAATTCAGACGTAATAATGTGTCATTTCGTAACTTGAACTCCTTGCTATATATCGATATGCAATATTACCAAGATACATAAAAAAATTGTGTAACAAATGTCCAAATAGTAGATCCTAAAACGGTTTTGATGATCCAAAAACCGTTTGAAAGTAGTAAGTTGCCAATCGTGGTGACGGTAAATATCGGCACAGCAATCTCTTCGTAATTCATTATCGAAAGTTTTTCACTATAAATTTAAAAATTCATAATTTAAGAGTTGAATATAAAGTGAGGTAGGTCCCAATATAAAACCCATCTCTTCTTTCATTTGGTTTGGTTAACATCCTTCAAATAAAAGTATTTGATGACATTAAACAAAGTATTTCAAAATTATAAAATGAATAATGAATAAATGCATAGAATCATATAATTCAAATTACCATACCCTCTGTGGAATTTCAAATACTATTTCAAACTATTCCGAGTTGCTGAAGTGCATCATAAATATTGAATAATATCATAAATAGTTGAATTTGCTTCAAAATTGCCAAATATTTTACTATCATAAGATAAACTATTTAAAAGTTACAAAGGGAATAAAAAATAAATATTTAAAATCTCACTTCATAAACTACTCCTACATATGTGAATCTTCAAATATGAAATTAAAGTATAGCCAGTTGTTATTTTTGATGTAGAGCTTCATAACATTATACAATATTATAAATAATTGAATATTATGCAAATTTGCTATATATTTTTCTAACATAAGACAAAGTGTTTGAAAGTTACAGAAGTCTTAGTTGAAATTAATTAAGTTAAATTTTAAATTATCATTTCTATGTTCACATTATTAATCAATAAATGAAGAAGTAACGAAATACATTTTTGAACCAAAGTTCTTCCAATATTAGAAATACTTTTGTCGTCAACTGCCAAACCAAAAATTTGACAAATTGTTTGAACATTCTATTTTTATTTTTTTAAATATTACATAAATGTAATAAATATAACTAACAATATAACAAATGAATGAACAAATCAATAAACTGTAATAAATGCAGTTAAATTTAACTGAAACATTTAAACAAATCATAACAGTTTGGTTAAAATGCACACACAATTTATTCAAATACATAAATATTATTTTCTATTTACAAATGCAAACACACTATCATAACAATAGAACCTAAATAGAAACAAACATTTATATATACATACATATATATATATATATATATATATATATATATATATAATATATAATATTAAATATTATTAATTACACAGGTCCACTAAAAAACAGTTTCTGTATTAGGCGTACAATATATGTTTTAATAATGTATTTTTTATCGCTGAACACAAATTTTGGGGGTCAAACTGATATGTCATAATATATTAATACATGATAATTACAATTTTAAAATTTTTGCCATTTCATGAACCTTATTTCTTAAATAAATATGTTTTAAAAAATACATTGTATTTATCTTGTCATTGTATTACTTCATAAAAGTCTATGTTTAAACTCATGACCATTTTCTTGGATTCTATTGTTAACACAGACTGGAATTATACCTTACAAAATAAGAAATTATTGTTCGATAATCTTACCTCAAGTTACAAGAACGATTCATTTCTTTTTACAAAAAGCAAGAAGCAAGATAAAGAAGATTCTCATTTCAGAATAGTTTTATTGTTATATGTCGATTACTTGATACTTTATATTTGACAAAATGTGAAAGTAAAACATTTTAATATTGAAAGCCTCTATCTTACGGCAATATATCTTACCCCAGAGCTAAAATATAAAGGTAAAATTATGTTGCAATTTCTCCTTACATATTTTACTATGAAATTAAATAATACACATACCTTTGACTAATGATTAGTAGTTCCTATTATAATAAATAAATTTATATATTATTGGTTCTGTTTGCACGAAAAAATGTAATAAAAGTGACATAACCTCAATTTATTTTTGTAACCATTTCTTTTGTAACAATCTCTAACAATTCTTTTGTAACATTATATTTATTGTTACATTTAATTCATAACACTTTGTAATAATTAAATAAATGAAAAATAGAACTCTCAAACAATTCGTTATTTTTTTGGTTTGACAGTTCAACAAACTTTCAGCTTTGCCAACATAAAAATATTTCTAATACGGAAATAACTTCAGTTTGAAAATATAAGTCGTTATTTATTTAATGAATGGGAACGGGCAAGTATGCGTATATATCATATATAATGATGGAAAAATTAATATATAAATTTATATATCCAATTTCCATACAAACCAAGCCTAGCTGGCCCATATATAATGATGGAAAAAATAGTATATAAGTCCGTGGATAGAAGTCCATGGATTCCAACTGGATATGAACTGACAAACGTTTGACGTTAGTTCCTCACGAACTGGGAACGATTTTGCATAGAGGCGCTGCAAGCAATCACCGTAGGAGCTTAGGAATCTTATTGGATTCCTTTTTACGCAAGAACTGTCAAACGTTTGACGGTAGTTCCACATGAACTGGGAACGATTTTGCATAGAGGCGCTGCATGTGCCAAACTTACAAATATGGCGCGATATTTGAATGCACTTTGGAAAGCATTCAGATATGAATCCTTTATATGTGATATATACATAAGGATATAATATATACTATGAATATATGAATGTATGTACATTAATTTGGATCGACGCACGATAAGTAATTAAGTAAAAGGTAATAATTGATTTGAAATTAATTATAATTAATTACACATTCATGTTTTAATAAAATATTGAATTAAATTATTTATATATTTTTTTATATAACTACAAAATATTATTTATTTAATTAATAAAAAACGTAATCAGGTAATAACCTTAGTGCATTTTCAGTAAAATTGTTTTGCGATTTTCGTTGCCATCGTTACCGTTGGCCATGGCGACCGTTGCCATTTAAAAAATTGTAATATAAATATATATTCGAAATAAATTTATTAAAAATGTAAAATATAAACACAATTATTATATACCATTTGATATAACCAGCTTACCTGCTCCTATTCAGTAATAACAAGTTTTCTTTTTTTAAGCTATTCCTTATGGCCTACTAAATACTTACAAATCTATGTATTGAGAAATAAAAAATTCATTGAATAATATAATCTTTATTGGATCACATCAATGACCAACATAAACAAATTTGTATTTATATATATTTTGTGTATATATTGCATGTGAACATATATACACACAAATATATACCATATATATAATAGAATTTTTAACATATTTTAATATATAGAAATTATAAAATTATACAATGCAATATAAATTTAATAACATGTTATCTATTTATACAATTAATAATTCTAAATAAATTTATTACCTAATTTTTCATATATATCTTACTCCATATATTTCCAATATTAGTTAACCAACAAATGACATTCATATTTCTTCTCTGTCTACGTCTATGTTCATCGTTAAAATATAAAATTGAGAAAATGCAAATAATATTACTTTCGACAACATATTTAAAAATTATTTATACAAGTCGGCTTATAATTTATAACTAAACTAAGTTTGAAAAAAATGTTTTGCAATCTTGTTATTTAATGTAAGTATCGATTTATTCTGCATACACATATATTCTATATATTGTTCACTATTATGAAATAGTTATCTATATATTATCATATAAACAACACATTTTTTGTATCAAATAGCTTTATGTGCAACAAACTATGATCACTGGACATTACTAATTCAGATTGATATTCCTCATTTATTTAGAAATTGCAATATATTTTACTAATTTCAAACAATGATGAATTTTCAAATAAACCCAATACTTATTAAAATAAATTATGCAAAAACTCCCCTTTTTAATATTTAAACTTTCTAATCCAACCGATAGAAAACGTAAACAATAACACAATAAATTGCACATTAGGTCAAAATTATATCATAATATTAAGACAAGTGTTGTTTATATTATATATGTTTATAAATTCATATCTTATTTAGTATATTTTTGGGGTATTTATTTTACTCATAAGTAAAATTTAAGTAGGTAAATAAACTCTAAAAAATATACATGAATTTCACATATAAGTAGATATATTAGTTTACACACAAATCAAAATGCTATTTTTCTAACATCCACAATTTCATTGATAAACACGTACTATTTTATAATTATCAATATATACAATACAAATGCACATATGAATTAAATAATTTTTATTAACAGTCCCTCATCTCATATCCATGTAAGGCTCTGTCGATTTGGCAACTTATCTATATTTAAAAAATTTTAATTTATTGTAAGTAGATGATATTGAGCACGTTTTATGGGGTGTCAATTTGACCTAATAATTTCATCTATTATTCCTTAATTCTCACAAAAATTGAATATGCATCTTTATGTCTACATTGTGAATATGCATGTTAAACCTATTATTGTAAATTTTCTACTGTTTTATTTCGATATAATTTTTAAGTAGATAGAAGACATAGAATATTTTATTGAGATATCCACTATTTTTTATGTATTCTAATCACACAAATGTCCACCAGGGACTTCAGTTTGGGAATTTGAATAGAACTTTTATTAATTTATGCAAGTAATTTATTATTTTAATTGAAAGTACTAAAATTGTTGAGCATAAAATACTTCCAAAGTCTACTCTTCAATGTAATCTACAGGATCAACATTCATTTATAAAGATTTAATATTTCGAGTGCTTCGTATAATAGAACACCTATAAAAACTTTTTTTTGATATTCGTGTTGATACTATATAAATTTTTAAAATCTTATTTTATTAATTCACTCATACTTTTAGCACAGATTTAATACTGCAAAAATTTCAATACAAATTTATTATATACAATTACAACAATCCAGCTTGTCACTACTCTCACTCTAAATAACTACATGACTATCAACCTCTCTGTACGACCTCATAAACTTATATGTATGTACATATTACATATTTCTCTCTTACCTCCTCAAAATCCAAGTGTAAAGTTGAATCTTGAATCTTGTTTTTATTAATGTAGCCAAGCTGCAGGAACCCATTGAGGTTCCCTTTCTAGACTATTAATTTCTGCCAATAATTGCTGATAAGCTCTTTCTGTATCATTATTTATGATTATCATATCAAACAAATGGCCCCAACGAGCTTCCATTTCTCTTGCAGTTGCAATGATATCTTTTAGTTCTTCTTCCTACAATGCAAATGAAAAAAGTAAGATACTGTAGGGTACAAATCATGCAGTTAATAAATACTCTAAATATGAATACAGTTTTTTTTATTTTTGAAGCTGACACCAATTTTACCAAATGCTAATAGCATTAGCAACCTATTCAGTGTGATATTTTCTTTTAGTTTTAAATGAGCTAAAATTTACATGCAAATATATGGATTATCCATCCAGATGTATTATATTATAATGTATAATTTTCCATTTAATATAACTAATTCAAAGAATAAAAGAATCTTGACATAATATGAATAAGTTTGACTCACTTTATAAGGTTCACCAGTTCTTAATCGCTTCTGTCTTAGTTTTTCTAAACTAGGAGGAGCTACCAAAACAGTGTATGGTTTTAAATCTGAAGCTCTCAGCAATCTCAAAGATTGCGGATGTAAATTCAAAACACAAATCTTTCCTGATGCTACTACGGATCTAATAGCATCAAGAGATGTACCTATAATTAAAAAAAAAAGTTATTTGAAGAGCAATTTATTAACTAGAAAAATTTATGAAAATTTAAATATCTTGGCATTATTTAACTCATTTTAAACTCAACTCATTGAAGCTGACAAGAAATTAGAGTTTATACAAAAACAAACATTTTTAAAAGGTAATTCAAATTTTTATAAAAACATTTTGTGCTCGAATATACCTTAAATCAAACAGAAAGTTTTAACAGATAACTTATGTATTAACTGAAATTATTTACTGTTTATTTTTATTTGAAGTTAATTTTATTATGCAATTTAGTACAAGAAAGAAATAATAATCTAATGTTAAAATACTTAATTTATTTAGTACTTACCATAATATGCCTTTTCATATTCTCCATGTTCAACAAATCTTCTAGCTAAGATATCAGCTTCAAATTGAGCACGTGATATAAAATGATAATCTTGGCCAGCAACTTCTCCCTCACTTCTAGGTCTAGATGTGTCTGTCGTAGCAAATTATCATTAGTTTGGAATCTTATAACACAATATAAATATTATGTATGAAATGTACTAATTATATTTATCACAGTTGATTTTTAGCAATGTTTACGTTGGGTTTTAATAAATGAAACACTTGATAATTCGAGGTAATCAAAATTGATAATAATTTTGATTAATAAATGAATCAAAATATACTTCAAATAATTTAATATTCTTACAAATTATACAAAACGGTTGTAACATAGAAAAATAAATTCAATTTGAATGCTTACGTGGTACAGCGGCTGCAAATCTACCAGCTGGATCTGCCATTAATCGCTGCCTGAGTTCGTGCCTTCCAATATTTGGTGGTCCTATTAACACAACTGGTCTACGTCTATCTGCTCTTGGGTAATGCAGAGCCACTTCTTCATATGTTAGAATTTGATCAATAGGTTCTGGTTCTAAATAAACACAATTGTTTGATGAAATTAGATTGAAATGAATTAGATAATTTATTATTGTAGTACTAACCATCGCCACTATTTGAAGAATATAGTGGGTAACCAGATTCACTGCCTCCACTTCCTTTGCCTAAACTACCTCCACCTACTCCTAAACCAGCCCCACTTCCAGATACCATTCCTCGCTTTCTGCGTTTTGGCTGTTTGGCTCTGGAGCAGAGTAAAGTTCCTGCTACACGCCTTGATCCTGCCTGAGAATATTAGGAAAGATTATTATTTTCAATAACAGAATCTATAAAAAGACCAAACAAGAAAAATGGTAAAATATATCAATTCAGTAATAACACTACTAAATTGGTATTTAATCTTATTTACATACTCCTAATAAAGCTACATAGTTTTAGTCAATTAAAGTTAATATATAATTAAGAACAACATTTACCTTTGTGCTATCTCCAGAAGCTGCTGCAGCAGCAGCCAATGCTAGTGATTGCCTCATAGATTCCCTCTGATGTTGGAATGCTTGACTAGGTATCAGACCTGCTAAAGTCTGGTCTTCTTCACCTGTTACAAAAAATAGTATTAAGCTACCATATTTTTTTAATTCAATTTCAAATTTGTTATATACTTTGTCTTAACATACACAGCGAAAAGGAATACTTAGTTATAATAATAGCTATACCTTCTCTAAAAGCCTGCCACCAATTAGGATCTTCGCGTCCAATGACATGAAGTACATCTCCTTTTCGGAAACCAATTCCAAGTTCTCGGCATGGAATATATAAATCTTCTTCTGGATCGTAATCAAAATGCGCACGAACATGCAGAACGGATGGAGCAGTTGCTGCAGCAGTAGCCACAGGTGGAGTGAGACGAGATCTAAAATGATAAACATAAAATTTTAGCAAAGTAAATTCCAATCAAATTTATAAAATTCTGTTAAGTTGCAACAACTATATTGCATATTGATCTGAGCAGGCAGTGTTTATTGAGGATTTCATTGTAGGTAAAAATTGTTTAATGGCAATTACTTAAATATTCTTAAAAATTAAATTATTTACTTTATGAATAAATCAGTTCTTATATTTAAATCAGTTACTAATATAAATCATAGCATAACTCAAAATACCTTGGAGCAACTAGAAGTGTAAGAGTTCCCGTCATTCCTGCTAAAGCAGCACACACATCGTTCACAGATTTACCTCTTAATGGTAAACCATTTACTTCTAACAATTCATCTCCTTCTCTCAATAAACCAGTTTTTTCCGCAGCACCACCTCTAACTACACGACCCACAACTACAGATTCACCTTCATTCCTGAAAAGTTATTTAATAATATTATAAAATCAATTTTTTATCAATGTAATTACATTTTTTTAATATAATTATTAATAACATTAATAGATTTTTGTGCAGGTTTTAATATGTTTCTTCTGATTATTTTTAAAAAAGGAAAGAGTAATTGGAAAGATACCGAAGTATCACAAATGTATTATGATATATATGATATATATTATGACGAATTCTTGTCTATTATAAAATAAATAGTTATAAATTATAATTTATATAATGTTCCAGGTAAAATATGTAAATTATATTGTACAAAGTATTAAGAAGTGTACTGGTAAATACAATTGTTGTCTCTAACCTGATTGTGGCGCCTAATGGCTCATTGGTTTTTTCAATTTGAATAATTCTGACACCATCATCTTCTGCTAGTAATGCTGGTGCTGTTGTTGGGCCAACTTGACCAATTGAACTAGCGGCCGATGCAGAAAGATGTGGCCTGGTTACAGGCTTAGGACTCTGAAAGAATAATTTTTCATCAGTCATTTGTATAAATTAACCATGGCCATGCTCTTATAATAAATAAAATTATTATTATATAATAAATATATATCTTGCTCACATGTGAAATAGCACTTTTGGGTATTGCTTTAATAACGCCATCGTGCGCCTGCAGCAGTCCTTCCATTTCGTAAGTGCCTAACAAATCACATAATTCTCTAGCAGCTGCAGCTGTACTTATGCTAACAGATCCTGCAGATGCTCCCAAGGGTCCTGATGGGGCAAGTGGCACCGATGCAGTCAATTCTCGCAACATATCTGTACACTAAAAAGAAAAATGAAAATGAAACACATCATTTACAAAAACTCTTATAAAATTCTATTCCAACATATTGTATGACTAATATAAAAAACTGATATTTTATGTTTATCAATAGTTTTCTTTAAATATTCATGTTTTAATTTTTTCACAATTTTTTATTAGAGTGTTATGTCCCACCTCTCTGGCCAACCCTTGAGCATCATCGGAAGTAGCCCTGTCCACAAGACGCCTGGCACATATTTCCCTCCTGGTGCGCAACGCCCTTGCAACTCGTTGCGACTGCAGCGCTTGCGTCGCCCGAGCGCAACGCGCACTTAATGCAGAATGAGCCCTCAGAGCCTGCTGCAGGCGTGATAATGCTGCCGTCAGCTCGGCGTATGCTGAAATTAAAGAAACAGTTTTATTTATAAAAAAATAAAAGTATAAAAAAGTATAACAAAAAATTGCGTATAATGCCCTAGTGTATGCAAATTTCTAGTTTCAGAAAATACAGAACAAGTATTCAATATGCACTAAAAGGATTGACTAAAGTTATTTCCTCAAACAGCTAAAACGTTGAATAGAACTTATGACCAGTATTATAAGTTATGAATTAAATATTTTGAATTGAAATTTTAATAATATATGAACAAATTTAAGATTGATTTTTCAAATATTATACAATAATATCCTGTAAAAACAACTTTGTTATTGAAATAATTTATGATGGTTGTTATCAGATGGCTGTGAATAACATATTTGGTTCCAAAGCTTTGAAATAATTTAATTATTATACACATATGAAAATATCCACATGCTATTTAAGAAATGGATGTATAAATATTTAAATAAAATATTGATAAAATGATTATTTAATAATATTATGATAAAAAAATAATAATAATCACATATACACACTCAACAAATCTAGGAGTATTTTTATAATAATATCCTGTAAAAACAACTTTGTTATTGAAATAATTTATGATAGTTGTTATCAGATGTCTGTGAATAACATATGAATAATGAATGATATATATGAAAATATCCACATGCTATTTAAGAAATAGATGTTTAAATATTGAAATAAAATATTGATAAAATGATTATTTAATAATATTATGCTAAAATAAAAATGATATTTCACGCATGGACACACTCAACAAACGCAGGAGTTTTTTTTTCAAAACATAATATAATAATATCCTGTGAAAACAACTCTGTTATTGAAATAATTTATGATGACTGGTGAATAACATATTTGGTTCTGTAGATTTGAGATAATTTAAGTTTATACATATATGAAAATATCCACAAATCTAGGAGTATTTTTATAATAATATCCTGTAAAAACAACTTTGTTATTGAAATAATTTATGATAGTTGTTATCAGATGTCTGTGAATAACATATGAATAATGAATGATATATATGAAAATATATGAAAATATCCACATGCTATTTAAGAAATAGATGTTTAAATATTGAAATAAAATATTGATAAAACGATTATTTAATAATATTATGCTAAAATAAAAATGATATTTCACGCATGGACACACTCAACAAACGCAGGAGTTTTTTTTTCAAAACATAATATAATAATATCCTGTAAAAGCAACTCTGTTATTGAAATAATTTATGATGGCTGGTGAATAACATATTTTGTTCTGTAGATTTGAGATAATTTCAGTTTATAATATATAAAAAATCCAAATGCTGTTTAAGAAAATTATGTATAAATGTTTAAATTTAAATTGATAAAATGATTATTTGATAATGATATGCCAAAATAATAATGATATGTCACATATGGGCATATATAAAAAAATTTTTTTTTAAATATTAAATAATAATATCCTGTAAAAACAACTGTGTTATTGAAATAATTTATGATGGCTGTGAATAGCATATTTGATTCTGAATATTTGAGAAAATTTAAGTTTATACCTATATGAAAATATCCACACGCTGTTTAAGAAATTGATGTATAAATATTTAAATATTGTCAAACAAATAATTTGAAAAGAAATTTTTTTTGATAAACTAAATATTTTTATTATGTCCTGGTTTGAAAATATTTTAAAACTGACACTCTGAGTCGATTCTTTTTGCTTTTATAAAATTTTTCTGTACGGTTGTACGATTTGATACTTCTCCTAAACGGTTATTCGGATATTAATAAAAAAAAATTTAGAGTTGGTCAAAGGAAATTTTTAAGATTTAATGAACGATTAAACTATAGTAATATTGTAGAAATAAATAGCACGATTACAAACAATCACTTATCATTGTTTGACGTTGAAAATATTTGAACTGCATGCTAGAAATGTCAATTTACTTGAAATTTGAATTTTGCTGAAATTATGAGCCTAGATAATATTAGAATATTATATACAAGAAAAATGTAATGTCTACATTATTATTGCCGAAAAGCAGCTGAGATGTGCCAGAAATGAAAATAATATAAAATACAGTCAACAGTATATGTAGACAGATGAAATTATAAAATTCAGTTTGATAAATAACGCAACAAGTCCAAAATTGCATGTACATTATTTTTTTAAACTTATGCATGTTGCATTTTGGATTACTTTACTAAATTTTAGCATTTTTAACATACCTATGCAAATAGATGATAGATGTCTGAATTGAATTTGATATTTAATAAGAATTTGATTCAAATAATATGAATATTTTTTTTAGCAAGTTGATTTTAGATTCAAGAGTGCTCATATAAAACTAGATTTTACAAATTAATTCACCTAAGATTTAAATAGAAATTATTAGTAAAAAAATGTACTTTAGAAATTATATTTGTCAAAAAGCAACTAATAGATCGTACGAAATTATAAAAATTATAGGCTAAATTATTGAAGCAATAATGTTGTGTGGTGAAATCAAGTGTGATATTGTTCTTTTACCGTAGATAAAACGCAGATATTACTATATTACCGCAGATATTACTATATTATTTTTTCTGAATTTTTTTTATACTGCTTATGCTAAGATCATAAATGAATCACAAAGGCAGGACATCAAATAGGATATTAAAAAGTATAGTAAAAAAATAGGAATGTTTGAATTGTAGACGTGGGTACAGGACAATGTCAGTCGGGTCATCTAGTATATACATATAAATACATATATGCGTATTTAGATTGCATTTGTTAGGGAAGTTTCAGAATTGTACATGCTTGTTATGATATTTTCTAAAAAAAATATATATATCGGAAACGATCATAAAAATCTTGACGAAAAACGTGATAATTTGAATAATTAAATAAACAAACTTCATCAACATCAACATAAACAAATATGTGTTTAAGTAATAATACAATATGCATTGAGCATACTGTTTGCTGCCATCGATCCCAAAAGCGGATATACCTGAGCACGTGACCGGACGTGCACCTCAGGGCACGTGAATGAACGCGTGTTGTTGTTATATAGGTGACTCGATATTTTTATTTTTTATATTCAAGATTTTTGCCATTACAACACTCAATCCCGGTGAGAGGTGTGTCATGGTTCAAAACTCACCTATTGTGAATAAAAGTTTAATTCGATTTGAATACCGTTCACAAAAATTCAAAGAGAAGAGATATTTGGTGTAGATAAAGCTTTTGAATAGGTTGAGCAGTAAATTTTATTCTGTTACTTTCACTAGATTAAGGAAAAAATTCTGAAGATAATATAAACTAGTGGTGTATGACATCGTGTATTAAGGCAAATTGCTGGAACTTTCCGTAGGGTAGGGCGGGGTTGAACAAATTTTTACTTAAACGGATGTAGCTCCTCAATGAAAAGTCGCAATAAATTGCTATACGGCTTATTAGATTTGTGGTTTATCGCTTAACAAAGTGTTAATACTATTTTTTGGTAATAAGTAAAATTTAAAAGCTACAGCTGTTTAAATGCAAAAAGTCAAGTATGCTCAATGTACCCCATAGGTGGGGCAAGTTGAGCGCTAAGAAAGTATAATTAAATCATAGGTTCAATGTCGATTAGTGATGAAATAAAATAAGTTTTTAATAACCAGTTCTATATTTATAGTCTTTATTGACAGAGAAAACAAAACTTATAGTAATTTGCTTTGAATAACAATCTACGAAAAGTAGAATCAACAAAACAATATCGTATCTTAGGAATTATTTTACCATTATATTCAGTATTTTTGTATAAAATCATTATTTCTTTATATTATTACTCATAGACTTAGCTTAAATCTTAAAAATAATAATTAATTTCTGCAAGTTAATGGTAATTGCTTTAGTGACAGAACAAGTTTAGCAACTATGCTCAACTAACCCCAACTCGGAATTTCAAAATAAAAGTGAGTTTATAAAAAAACCGTGAAAATTATACCCAGAATCTCTGCGCATATCAAAAGTACTATAATTATATGGAGCAATAACATTTACCTGATTAAAAATAAATAACATTTGACTAAACCAGACAAAAACTCGCTATGAATTACTTTTTTACTTTTTGGTCTCAAAATAAACAAAACGCATGTGAGCCTCACTCATTTGTCCAGCGGCCACTAGCGATCGCGGGATGTTTATTTCTCCCAAACCTCTATCTTCCACCATATAATGCCTAAACGGACGGTGAATAGTTTTCGAGATATTTCGATTGCTCAACTAGCCCCGCTCTACCCCACCAAAAAATTTTTTGTTTATATATTTTTCAATGTATTAATTTACTCACTCGTAATCCCAGGAGCTTTAACATCTTCGTCGCCAACCTCTTTATCGCTATCATCCAGAATCTCATCCTCATGAGGTTCGTATGCTTCATTGAGGGTTCCTTTCAGGGCCTGCTGCTTCTGTGCTGCAACTTGTTGAGGTGTTTGCTGCTGCAGAGCACGGAGCTTTGCCGAACCTCTGAGAGAGGCGCGCAGTAGCTGTTGCTCTTGCTCCTGCTGCTGCTGTTGTTCTCTGCGGCGACGTAATTGATCCTATGAAAAAATCATAGAAATTATTTAATAGAAAAGTAAATTTGAAAGTGGATAATGCTTAGATGAGAGACCATTTTGGAAATACCATGTTGATTGCTGTCGTATGATCTCTTATACCAGACATTTCAGTCTAACTGACAATGAGATATACAGAATTTAGGATCGGCAGAGTATTATTTTAAACAAAAAAAAATGAAGCACAAGTTTGTCATGTATGAAAATTTAATTCGGCAAGAGGTATAAAATGTGAGGCCCTCACTCTTAGATGTTAGTTATACTATAATGAATTAGGTGACAGGAAAACCAGATAGAAAAAATGGTAAAACAAAATGTTATCTCATAACTATAATAACAGATATCTACATAAAAATTTGGTACTGTTGTCTTATCTAAACCTCTGAGTAACCAATATCAATTATCGATCGTGTATAGTGAAGCCTCAAACAAAATATTAACATTGGCATCACAAATAATAATTTGTTGCGAGAAAACACATCGATATTTTATCAGCTGCTGATTAAATGCCATATGTCGTAAAACAATTGATATGAATAAAAATGAATAACAGCATAAAACATTATTTTAAATTATTCATAAATTAGCAAAAAATCATTTACAAAAAATAAGTAAATTTACTTATTATTGGAGTATATTTTTCAGCAGCAATAAAAATGTTAGACATATATGTCTGATATGCGAGCTTTGGTAGAAGAAAAAAAAAAGTTTTAATATAGGGCCATGTGAGTCATATAGTGCCATATGAAAAATAGTGTTTTTTCAGGAATTTTGTCAAAAAAAAATTATTTGATACATTGAGTTTCCTTGATATATTTTAAATTAAATTATCTAATAAAGTTACCATGGTCCATATGATTTTTTTGTGATATTATCATGGCGATTTATTTGTTATTAATATACTAGTATTTATTTTTTGAAGTAAATCTTTCGTTCATCGGTGATTTATCATACTATCAACAAACTTATTATTAGTAAGATTTATGTTCCATGTTATAAATACCTATAGTATAACTATATAAAGCACATACTAACATTTTTATCCTGATATGACTCTGTATCACTGACGTTGCTATTTCTAGGTGACTTAGCTACCATTTTAAAAAAATTAACAGCACAAAACTATATTATCATTATTGTTCGACATACAAACACTTTCATATTCTTCTACTTGTTATCTAACATGAACATCACTAATATGTCTCCACGGCACAGTTTCATTTAGTCACATAATCGATTTTTAATTAATATTCGATTCACGAAACCTAATATTTGCACAGAGATTCAATTTGATGGTTTCGTCATTAATTAATTCTGATACAAATGAAAATTAGTCGTTATGCAAGTTTAATATAAACATATATGAGTGTCTATTTAAATTCAGTAAATGAATTATAAATATATTGAAAGCATTTCACCTGACTCATTTTAAAGCAAATTCATCGAAAGTTACGTATGCATAGAGTACTCTTTTCTATAATTTTATGGGCCCAACAATAACTGATGAAGTATTGCATAAAAGCTACAAAATAAAAGCATAAAAAACTAAATAATATTATTAAATAATTAAATTTTATTTGAAATATCATAACAAAAAACCCTCCAAACATGCAACTAAAAACAAGGCACTTTATTTTTATGGCTAGCAATCACGAATTATAAGAAACATACAATTAGTTTATTTTAAAATCTTCATTGATTATTTTTTAAAATTTTTATTAATATATTATTAATTTAGTATTCAGTTTAATTAAATCGAAACTTGATTAAAAATGTGTATAATAAATATAATTTATTTTAAAAGTACTAGAAATTGTTGTGGGCAAATACAATAGAATTGAGGAGAGGAATGATTTTAAGTCATTTTCATACTGATAAAGATTGAGAGTATTGATTTTAAATCATATGTTATATACATATATATATATATATATATATATATATATATATAATATATATATATACACTAGATGACCCGACAGACGTTGTTCTGTAACCACATCTACGTTTTTTAATATTTTAATTTTTGGCACATTTCAGCTGCTTTTAGGCAATAATAATGTAGACATTACATTTTTAATTTAGTCTATAAGTGAATAGAAATATTTGGCAAATTTCATTTCATTTGTTTTTAATGTCAAATTGTCTTCAATTGTTTTTAATGTCAAACAATGCCTCAAATATTTTCAATGTCAATCAATGATAAGCAGTTTTTTGTCATTTTTTCCATTTATTTCTGCAATCTGACTATATTTCTATGAATCAAAAAATCCTAGAAAATTCCCTTAACAAGGAACTAAACTTCAGGAAGATTTATGAAAATCCGAATAATCGTTTAGGATGATTAACCTTTCATACCCCATTACAGAAGAATTTTATATATAAGATATGTATATATATAACATGTGTTTTTTATTAATATTTGTAGGCTACCGCAAAAATAGCCAGATGTTAATTACAAATGCCTACTTGAGATACATGATCGCAAGAATCTTGAGAGATGTGGAATTCAATTTTTGCTCACAAATAAAACATATATATATATATATATATATATATATATATATATATATATATATATATATAATTCAACTTGTACGAAACGCAATTTCAGCAAATTGGATAATGTCTAAAGATAACTAAAACCGCACAAAAAATCAACGATTCAATTAAGAAATGTGCTTATCTCTGGAATTTATTTTAAAGATAATATTACAAGTAATATTATCTTAATATACTTATAACTTCATTTAGTATATCTGATATAAACAATTATAAAAAATTGAAATAAAATTATTTCAATAAAATTTATTTATTTAATTAGAATTAGTATTTTGTTTGGGTTCATATGAACTACTGAGTTAAATTTTAAAATATACAAAAGAGAAAAACACAATTATTATATAAAACATTATATAAAAAAATCTTAATTACATGATTGCATGTTGAATTCGCATTTACGATCATTGTTATTTTCTATTATTGAAAATTATCATCGAATGGTGCAACAGACGTCCACAAATAGCAAACCGATAATATCAGGCCGATAAACGGGCGCCAAGGTTAAACAAATGGATTTGTGTAATGTAATACAAATGGAATTAATAGTTCAAAACCATGATAATGAGAATTACGTATCATTGCTAATTTTTCCATATAACAGAATAATAGCAAAAGATTTATTTATCCTAAATATTAACGATTCCAATTTTATATTTATAAGTGACAGTTATTGAAATGAGTGGCGTAAGTATAGGATGGAAAAGCCAGTCAAAATCGTAGATGTAAATTATTTTTAATAAACTGCGGATGACATAGAAATATTTAACGAAACAAAAAAAAATGTATGGCATCGTACCTTAAGACAAATTGCTTAAGACAAATCGATTTTTGAAAAATTTAAAATTTTCGAAAAAAAGAACTTTGAGTAAAAAAGACTTTTTGAATAAAACATGAATGTTTAACTTCCCATAGGGCAAGTTATAGTAATCGCAAAGACCTTCCAACCGACCTTGGATCGAATTTAATCAGTTTTTTTATCTTGTCAATAAAAGTAAAATGTTTTTTGAATTATTAAAATCGGACGCTCCGTTCTCTTAAAAACTGAGTTACAGTTTTTGGCACTATTGCCCCGTATCTTCGAAACGACCAGGCCTGCCTTTGGCAAAAACTAATCAGCTCTCCTTATCAATACGAATCGAATGTTTTTTTGAATTATTCAAATCGGTTGGTCGGTGTTCCCGAAATCGTCGACAAAAATTTGTTTCCGCACACACATGCATCCATTTTTCTAAGCTCAGAAACCACTGAAACGTAAAGATATATAAAAATTTTCATTTTCGTTTTTTTTGCATTACTATAACTTACTATACAGAAAGTTAATAAAAAATTGAGCCTAAAGTTATTCAGTAAAATACTGTTTGTTTTTTTTTCCAATTGGCAAAGATAAATAATCGCAATCCCAATACTGCTAATGTTTACTTACGAGGTAGCTAAAATGTGTATTTCTAAAAATTCGCAGGTGTTAATTATTTTCAAACAAATCTTATCTTCATTTTATATAGGTTGTTTATCCATTCAAATTGTTTTAACATTGTAACCGTGTAAATAAAAATCCGCAATGAATGCCCGTACAAGCCAAAATATGACGTCAAGTATTAAATATAGATTCTACGTGCATTATTATCTGTCTGCAGACTAATTAAAACACCTTTAAATGTTTGTATAAAAGCATTCGAGCAAAGACATCGTTGATTGTGTGAAATATTCATATTTGTAAAATTTATATAATGATCACCAACAAATACCTCTCAACATGGTGAAGCTAATAAAGCAAAAACACGTGAGCGTGAAGACTTCGAGATGACCAAATTTAGTTGGATCATGGAAGATGGTTCAAATTTGATCAATTTAGTTAATTTTAAAAGTAAGTATTGAAAACTGTTATTAGTAGTTACAAACTTTCGTCAACGATTTCGGGTGCACGGATCAATCGATCTCTATTAAAAAAAATCAATTCCTATATTGATTGGAAGACGTACTAATTGTTTTATATCTTCTATCTTTTTGTCATTAAAATAAACTCGAATCGGTATGATCAATTTACAGATTTTTTGTAAAAACCGTAAGCTCTAGAAAATATTAAAATGTTTAAAATATTCTCATTGTCAGGCTAAAATTATTTTAATACTAATAAGCCATTTCATAAAAATATTTAGTAACAGTTTTCTACGATATATATCACTTATCATATTTTATGTTTAAATTCACTCATTATATTTTGTGTTTAACTCTAGATTTGTCTTCGAAGTTTTAAAAAATCCGATTTGTTTATAAGAAAAATGGACATTTATAAAAAAGCTACAAGACAAACAGACCTTGGTATACAAAACATAATATTATCTGAATAATTGTTATGTGCTTTTGTAGGTAATCAATTATAATTTATCGTTCTTAATGATTTCATTATACATCTGTAATATATT